GCCAGCGCAGCGCCGGGCCTCGCTCCCCGTGCGTCCTGCGGGGGCGGCGGAGCGGAGAGGCGGCGAGCGCAGCCGGGGAGGGTGGGGGCAGAGGCACAGACAGAGGCGCGGAGGCTCGGAGAGAAGAGACGTGGAGGGAGGGACGGAGCCTGGACAGCGGTGGACACGGCATCGCGCGCCGGGGAGAGCGCAGCGCGCACTAGGTGCCGAGCGCCGAGCGCCGAGCACCTAGAGAGGCAGCCCCGGTGGTCTCCCGCCGTCCATGCACAGAGCGCCCTCCCCCACTGCCGAGCAGCCGCCGGGCGGAGGGGACAGCGCCCGCCGTACCCCGCAGCCCAGACTCAAGTTAGTGGGCAAAGGGAAGCGGCGGGGAATGGAGATGGGTGGAGCCGGATTCGGGAACGGGGTCCGGAGGGCAGAGATAGAGGAGAGGACGTGGGAAGCGGGGTAGGGGTGTGGGTGGAGACTGATGGAAGAGGGGGTGAGTTTTCGAATTAGGGGACCCTGGGGCAGCAAGGATTTGATGAGCTGGATGTGAAAGAGTAGTACCTGGTTCCCCCTCCCCCGTTTACTCTGAGCATGACCTGGCAGGGATCCGGAGGCATTGTGAGCCCCCCACGAAGAACGTGGGAGCCGCCAAGCGCCAGGGGAAGCCCTAGAGCTCGAGCTGGCAAGAGTGCCAGGGGAGGGCCTGTGGCTGACTCAATCTGGCGTTGGCACCGAGCGCGCGGGCCCCGGGGTCCGCGAGAAGCCTGTGCTTTTGGAAAAAGAGCATTGGCAGGGCACTGGGGAGGTAGAGGGATGTGTTAAGCCTCCCTTCCCATTTTGGTCGGTTTATTGACAGTGGCGGGGGGGGTGTCGGGAAGGGCCGGCGTGCAGCTCCTCCCTCTTGAGCCGCTCCTCCACTCCACTTGAAGATGTGGGTGGAAAATGAAGGAGTGGAGGGTAGGTGGGAGTACTCGGGCGGTTTTCGCCTACACACGCTACCACTGTGGGTGTGTGTGTGGGCGGAAGGGCCCCAAAGCGGAACAATTGAGGTGCTCCCGTCTACCCCCCACATCAAGGGACAGGTCTAGCCAGCAAGTGGGGAAGGTCACTGCTAAGAGAGGGGCCAACTGAGGGTTACTGGGCAGCCTGGGAGGGAGGGGAGGTCCTGTGAGGAGTGAGCAAGGTGCATTAAGAAGCCCGTCTAAGTCCTGGGCAAAGCTGAGGGGAGAGGAAGATGGATCCACCTGGCTCACTAATAGGAAAGGGCAGGGAAGGGGCCACACCCCTTCCTCTCAGCCACCTGGACAGGATGTCACAGGGAAGTGAAGCTAGCCGGCAGTGTTCCCACTGTGCAGTGTGGGGAGAAGAGGTGGGCCTTCATGTTAGTGTAGGATATTACCTTGAGTAGTGTTGAGACTACTAAGTATTTAGAATAGAAAGTGAAATCTGTATTCTGGGGAAGATGGAGGTTCAGTCATCACAGGGGTGTGCTGGCAGTCCTCAGCGCTCCTTGCCCCAGGCTTGAAAAGTAGAAACTAAAGATGGAGAGTGAGAGTCTTTGACTCCTCCAGAGACAGGGCAGTGGCATTGGGTACTTCTGACCAGTCTGGGATGGCACTGACACATATCCCTGAGCAGTGAGTGTCTGATTCTCATGGTCTGGGCTTTGACCTCGGCACTGGGCGGATAGAACATTCAAGAGAGGGCAAGAGAAGCAGGCAGCCAAGAAAAGACAATTGTGGGGATGGGCTGGTATCCAACAGGGACTTGTACCCACTGCTTCTCTCTCTTGTGCATCTCTTTTTCAGGCCCGGTGTCCAAGCCATGGCACTGCCTCGGACGCTGGGGGAGCTGCAGCTGTACCGGGTCCTGCAGCGTGCCAATCTCCTTTCCTACTACGAGACCTTCATTCAGCAGGGAGGGGACGATGTGCAGCAGCTGTGTGAGGCGGGGGAGGAGGAGTTCCTGGAGATCATGGCACTTGTGGGCATGGCCACTAAGCCCCTTCATGTCCGGCGCCTGCAGAAGGCACTGAGAGAGTGGGCCACCAATCCCGGGCTCTTCAGCCAGCCAGTGCCTGCTGTGCCCGTTTCCAGCATCCCACTGTTCAAGATCTCTGAGACTGCGGGTACCCGGAAAGGGAGCATGAGCAATGGGCACGGCAGCCCAGGGGAAAAGGCGGGTAGTGCCCACAGTTTTAGCCCCAAGAGCCCCCTGGAACTCGGGGAGAAGCTGTCACCACTGCCAGGGGGACCTGGGGCAGGGGATTCCCGGATCTGGCCAGGCCGGAGCACTCCAGAGTCGGACATTGGGGCAGGAGGAGAAGAGGAGGCTGGGTCACCCCCCTTCTCCCCACCTGCAGGGGGAGGAGTTCCTGAGGGGACTGGGGCTGTGGTGCTAGCAGCAGGTGGGACTGGGGGTGGTCCAGACCGACTGGAGCCAGAGATGGTGCGCATGGTGGTAGAGAGTGTGGAGAGGATCTTCCGGAGCTTCCCGAGGGGGGATGCTGGGGAGGTAACCTCCTTGCTAAAGCTGAATAAGAAGCTGGCACGGAGCGTGGGGCACATCTTTGAGATGGACGATAGTGACAGCCAGAAGGAAGAGGAGATTCGCAAGTACAGCATCATCTATGGCCGCTTCGACTCCAAGCGGCGGGAGGGCAAGCAGCTCAGCCTGCACGAGGTGAGGACCTTGCTTCCCAAGATTGCTCTTAACTCCTGGGCCTCACCCCCTCACCTCTGAGAATCCCAGCGCTCCCCAAGTCTGTGTCATTGCTGCTTGATCTGGACTCCAGGCCCTAATCTCCTCCCCCGCATACCCTGATCCCAGCTGCTGCAATGCTCCCATTGTCAACTGAGAGAGAAGCAGAGATAGAGACCAGAAGCAGTTGCCCAGCTCAGGATCAGTTGGGACCCCATAGACACGAAGGAGACCCTGGACATTCCTAGGAAGCTGCGGGTGTTGGCCTTTGTCTTCTTTTCTCAGAGAGCTCCTGTGTAGCATAAAAGCCAAAACAAGCACCTGATGGATGGGTCTCCATGGTGAAGGGGTGTGAGGACAAAGCAATGGGAGAAGTTAGGATCTGACTGCTCTGGCTGTCCCGTCTCCACAGCTGACCATTAATGAGGCCGCTGCCCAGTTCTGCATGAGGGACAACACGCTCTTACTGCGAAGGGTGGAGCTCTTCTCTTTATCCCGCCAAGTGGCCCGCGAGAGCACCTACCTGTCCTCCTTGAAGGGTTCTAGGTGAGACCCTTTCCCCAGGTCCTTTTTGGATTGGAACCTTGCCAAGGAGTTGAATCATGGCCTAACCTTCAGCTCAGGAGCCTCTAAGCCTGCTTCCCACCGGCCTTCACATCCTGTCTTTGGCAGCGCTGGCTTGTCTGAATTCTAGCCTTTTCTTTCATTCTGTCCAGTCCCACCTAGATTCTCAGAACTGCAATGCCTGAACTGGAGCCTTCTGCCCAGCCAGCTCCTTTGCAGTCTTTAAATAATGTATTCCCCTGGCCAGATTCTGTGTTTTGCCCTTCATATGGTCCTCCCCAGCCTGTACCACTTCATTTCTCTCCATCTTTTCAGGATCCACCCTGAAGAATTGGGAGGCCCCCCTCTGAAGAAGCTGAAACAGGAGGTGGGTTCTCCAGAATACATGTGAGGGAGGTAGGGCAGCCTTCCCCAATCCTCTCCCCTTGTCATGTCCTAAGTTCCTCCTTTGGGGCATTTCACAGGTTGGAGAGCAGAGTCACCCTGAAATCCAGCAGCCTCCCCCAGGCCCTGAGTCCTATGCACCCCCATACCGTCCCAGCCTGGAGGAAGACAGCGCCAGCCTGTCTGGGGAGAGTCTAGATGGACACTTGCAGGGTGAGTGGACAACGGAACACTTCTCTCCTCACTGGGGGCTGGGGAAGAGGGAGTCAGGAGGCAGCTGCCTGGAACAGGAGTGGGAGGCCTGGCTGGATGAGGGCAGAAGGGCCTACGGGTCTGGCTATGCGGTTGAGGGTGGGGGTTCAGTTGGCTGCAGTCCTTTATCTGACCCCTGCCCATGCCTACAGCTGTGGGGTCGTGCCCAAGGCTGACGCCGCCCCCTGCTGACCTGCCTCTGGCATTGCCAGCCCATGGGCTGTGGAGTCGCCACATCCTGCAGCAGACACTGATGGACGAGGGGCTGCGGCTGGCCCGCCTTGTCTCCCACGACCGCGTGGGCCGCCTCAGCCCCTGTGTGCCTGCGAAGCCGCCTCTCGCAGGTGAGGCAGCCAGCAGTGCTGTCCCCGAGCACCCCAGCCTCCCCGGCCCCATACAGTTATCCTGGTTGTCTTGGGGCCAGGTGGGAGGAAGAGGGATATAGTAGCCAGAAATGGCAGTAGGAGGGTCAGGCTCCAGCCACCCAGACCGTGGATTGAGGAGAGAGGATCTTGCAGGCTCTTCCCACTGGGGAGGGTCTGACCCTAATGGAGATCTGTGAAGGGCGAGTTGGCATAGGGGGCAAAGAACAGAGGATGAAGGGATGTAGGAAGGAGGACCACCAGTAACGGAAGTTTGGATATAAGTCATGCCAGTGCAGGTGGAGGGTGCAGCAGGCTGGGAGTTACGGTGGTAAGGTTGTCCAGCTTGGATGTGGAGCCCAAAGGGGGATGCATTGTGTGTGGATGGGGGAAGGGAAGTGGGCCGGCAGAGGGCTGGGCATCGGCTGGGCTGAGAGTGAGGCAGCAGACAAAGCCACCAACCCTGGCTTGGTATTTTTAAACTGTGTGTGGGTGGGAAGTGGGGGCGGGGACTGGAGGGGGGCTCTTCTTAGGGGAGGAGTTGGGAGACTGGTTTCCTGTGTTCCCCCTGATTTGGCTTTCGAGAAACTTGAGGGGCTATGATAAGGTGGGTGGGTTCTGGGAGGGGACCAGGGATGAGGCGAGGTGGCAGAGCCCAGGGAGGGGGGAGGGGGAGAGGTCAGAGCCAAGCCACCCCCGCAGCTCCTGACAAAACGAGAAATTCCAGCAGAACGGAGGCTCCAGCAGAACGGAGGCGGGAGAGACAGAGAGACCCATACAGAGACAGAAAGAGCTATACACAGCCAAAAAGGGGAGGGGTCCAAGCACACTTGGGTCTTGAACCTCCCCTCTGTATACCTGTAGTGGGCGGGAGGCAGTAGTTCAGTAAATCTAGCTCATCCTTCACCATTCTTTCTGTCCCTGCTTCGGTTCCCAGCCACTGCTCTCTGCAGCCTCCACCCCGACAGGCTCCTAACCTTTTTCTCCTCCCTGCAGAGTTCGAGGAAGGGCTACTGGACCGATGTCCTGCCCCAGGACCCCACCCCGCACTGGTGGAGGGGCGCCGGAGCAGTGTGAAAGTGGAGGCTGATGCCAGCCGGCAGTGAGGGGCAGCGTGGCGTCCTTGGACCCTGGACTTCTGGTTCACACAGACAGACCCCCTACTCCGTGATCCCCGGAGTCTAGTCACAACCTGGATCCTTGTGCTGCCCTTGTCCTACCTCCCCACCTGCTCCATGGGCAAAGGACTATGGGGCTTCAAGCAATAACGAGCAGGGGCCTGGCGAGAGGACACAAGGAGGGTGCGTGGTGCCCCTCACCCCTGCCCAGATCGAGGAGGCAAGGAAGGACTGCCTCCAGGGCATTTGGGGTTCTCCCGTCATTTACACAACACACTCCATTCTCTAGGTTTCAACCAGTGGTGTGAGCAGTTGGACTCAATTTGGACATGGTGGAGAGGGGGGCTTCCCTGTGAAAGTCCAGCAGCTAATAATGGAAACATTTTTTTCCCAGAACTGGGGGCCTGGGAACACTGGAACTGCCCCCTCTCCCCTCCCATTCCCCATTTTTGTGCTTCTAGTTTGTTTCTTTAACAAGTGCTGCAGTTAGCTACCCATCCCCATCTCTTCCCCAAGCCCTCAGCAGTTCTTTTCTTCCGGCCCTCTCTAGGCGGGGAGGGTGGTGGTAGAGGTGGGATCCCCTTCACCAGCCCCCTTGGGAGGCCTGGGTTGGACTCAGGGTCTCCCCCAGCTAGGGGCTGGACTGCAGCACCTATCTGCGCAGTTAGAGCGTCTTTCTTTTCAGATTGTGTACAGTAGATTATTTATTTTGTTATTTTGGAATAAAATTTATTTTATGGCTTAGGATCTATGACTTCCACCCCCTAAGAGGGAGAAAGGGTGGCATGGGATGGGAGAGGGGAGGGACACTGGCACAGCGGGTAGGGAAATAAGAGGAGCAGGAGGTTGAGCCCCTAAGTCACCAGAAGTAAATAGTACACACTGGGCCCGTCCCCACACTCTCACCCTCTGACTTCTGGCAGGATCAGTAGTTGAGCAGCCAGAGCCAAATACAGGTGTCCCAGTCATCCCGTCATACTCAAAACTGAGAGTACAAGAGATAGACTGCTGGTGTCTTGTGTGAGGTCTCACACTTCCAAATCTGTGTCGTCACACAGGTAAAATTCAATAGACACGTTGTTGGGTGTAACATCTGTACAGTAACATGTTTCCGATACACAATTCTTTCACACAGCTATACATGACAAAACTCAGCTCTTGTACTTCTGCATGAACTCATACACATACCAAAAGCTTCCATCTGACTGGCAGGAATGGGGGTGTTTGGGACTTTGTTTTTGTTTTTTAATCTGGACAAAACCCATGTTAGTGACCCAATGTACAGACCCCCCCACCCACCCAGGGGCCCCTGAACTGCCTCCCCTTTCCCCGGGGACTGACACCCCAACCGTCTACTCTATCCCCAATCTCTAGTGTAAGTGTAGGCATGTGTCTGCGTGTTTCTACGTGTGCATCCTGGGCCCTGGCTCGGAGTGGGCAGCGAACTCCATACCCTAACCTGTGCTCTCTGCCACCCTCCAGCTCAACCCCGGCTTCCACGGAGAGCTGTGTGTGTGCACCGTGTGTGTGCTGCGTGTGCAGGCATGTTAGGACGTCTCACTTTGGAGCCTGAACTTCCATTCCTGTGCTGGAAGAGGGTGGGCAGGGGTGTGTGTGTGTAGGGGTGGGAGGGAAGGAGTGGATCAGTTCCACCTACAGTGCATTGTTGTGGTAAAGTCTTTTCCTCCTGACCAGGCACTAGGTGGGGGGGGGTTAGGGGGGCACCCTCCCCTCTGCCGCTTGGCAAGAGCATGGGCACGTGTCTGTAGCAGGTCCATGGGAGTACAAGAGCTGTCTCTGGGCTCCCTCTCCAGCTGAGATCACCAACTGGGATTGGCCCTTAGGTCCAGGTGGGACAGGGATATCCCAGACTGCCCATAGAGGGAGGGCTGCAGGAGGGGCTGGACTCCCAAAGGCCCTCCGCCTGGCTCCCCTTGCCCCTCCAGGAGTAGCTTGGTGAGGTCCTGTTCAGTGGGAGGCAGCAGGGGAGGGAACATGTCTTCACTGACCCTGCAGAGAGAAACAGGGAGACGCAGTGGTGTGGGCATGGTGCCCACCCTTTAGCCCCACCCAGCCACCACCCCAGGCCAACACTTACCAAGTTCCCTGAGGGAACCCTCCCACCTGCTGGCTCAGGCAGCCCTCTTCTGCCATGGCCACATCCGAACAGAGCAGGGGCTCAGGGGTGGGCACAGCATGTTCCTGAGGCTGGCATGGCAACAGGCCCCTGCCGGGACCAGGAAAGGAGATAGGTGAGGGGGTGAGGTGGGGAAAGAATAGGAAGCATGGAGTCAGGAGAGGTTTGTCACTCACTGGGGGTGAGGTTGGTCATAGGACAGGCTCATCTGGCTCAGGTTAGGGGGCATCTGCAGGTGAGGTCTGGAAGTAGGAAGGAGAGCATGGTCAGAGAAAGGAAGGTGTTGTGAGGTTAAGACCATCAAGTGAGGAGACAGGAGTTCTGGCTCCATATCCTGGCTTCACAGCTCACTAACTGCGTGACTTTAAACAAGTCAGATTTCTACAGCCTGAGCTCAGTCTTCCCATCTGTAAAATGGCGTGGCGGGGGGAGGGTTGGACTAGCTAACTGCTAATGTTCTAAGCCCCCCAGTCCCCACCCCCACTTCAGCTCCTGGGAGGGAGATGTTATGCCTTGACTAAGAGTTAATAAAGGAGCCCTGGTGGCGCAACAGTTGAGCGTTCAGCTGCTAACTGAAAGGTTGGCGGTTCAACCCACCCAGTGGCTCTGCGTGTTTCTACATGTGCACCCTGGGGCCTGGCTTGGAGTGGGCAGAAAAACACTCCGTGCCCTAAGCCGTGCCCTCCCCGGCCACCCTCTGGTTCAACCCCAGCTTCCACAGAGAGCTGTGTGTGTGTGTTGCGTGTGCAGGCATGTGGAAAGACCTGGCAATCTACTCCTATGAAGATTACAGCCTAGAAAGCCCTATGGGGCAATTCCACTCTGTCACATGGGGTTGCTGTAAGTCGAAATTGACTCGATGGCACCTAACAACAGCAAGAGTTAATAAGTACCTAGGTGTTACTTAAGGAACAAAAGTGTCTAGGCCACTGAATAAATAAAAATCAAGACAGCAGATAAGTGACACTGGATTTCAAGGGTAGGAAAGATAAAACTACTAATACTTACATCGTTCTTGCTAGGAGCCAGATACTGTGCTCAGCTTTACACATATCATTAACTCATCTAACCTTCACAATAACCCTACGAGGTAGGTATTATTATTATTATCCCCCATTTTACAGATGAAGCCCCAGAGGTTAAGTAACTCACCCAAAGTTCATAAGCGGCAAGGCTGGAATTTGAACCCAGGCCGTCTTAACCACTACTGCCTCAAAGGAGTGGGCAGAAAAGAAGAGGTGTGGCATTCACTGCCTCTTTCTCACAGAAGAGCTTCTCCTAACAAACGCAAATGCCCGCCCCCTGCAGGTGGGTACTCCCAACCCTGACTTACTCCTGGAAGGCTGGCAACACATTGACGGATTCTTCTGGAGAGAGGGCTTGATACGAGGGGATAGAGTGAGAGTGTGGTGGGTACACCTGGGGCCTGGGGAAAGAAAGCACACCCTCTGATGCCAGCTGTTTTCCTGGGCCCCCTCCCGCCCCCATCCTATGAAAGGGGAACCCCTTTCATGGAAAGGAAACCTCCCTGCTCCAGCCCCCAACGCCAGCCCTCCCAGAGGCCCATGCTGAAAGCCCATCTGCACAGACCAGCCCCACTCTTGTCTCTCAAGCTCCTTACACCATATCTGAGCCAAGCTGCATGCTCATGGAGGAATCAGGGGCCATTCCATGATCATAAGTGGGCACCATGGCAGGCATCTGAGGCTCTGGGGTGGGAAGCGGCTGGTCCCTGGAAATTGGGAGGGAGGCACGTGTGCCTGAACAAGAGTTGATGCCACCGCCCTTCCTGCAGGTAAGTGCCAGCCCCTAGGCTCCACTCAGCATCCACACCATCACACTCACCTTTCCACAGTCATCTTGATGGTCGCTGGGACATAACCCCTGCCATCCTTGCCCATCTGTTCAGCTGTTGGGAGGCAAGGAGAGCCATGGAGTGCTTGGACTTAGGGAGGAGGGGAGGTGGAGAAGGTGGGCATGGCGGATGGGCAACCAGGAGAAGTCGGACTAAGAAGACAGGGAGGGAAGCTGGGGATGACATGATGGGCAGACAGAGAGGGGACAGCTCAGAGCAGGGAGGAGGCAAGCGACAGGAGGGAGGCAGCACTGCCAGCTCCAGCTCACGCTTGTAGTGGCTTCGAAAAGCCTCATCCTTGGGTTTCTTGGGGTAGAGGTTTTTGAGCTGAGCAAGGTCCCGGATTCGGTCCCCCAGTGAGCGGATGGACAGGTCCTTGGCTGAGAACGGCTGGATGTTTTCTATCTGTGGGGAGCCTACAACAAGAATGAGACTCTGGGTCCCTCTGTCCAGACATTCTTCCCCTTCCCCAGGGCCAGGCCCCACCACAGGACCCATTCTCAATCTACCAAGGCAAGGGAGGCCCCTGGGATGGGAGTCCTGAGGGAGGGAAACCCACTAGCCTCCATTCCCACAGAGCTCACAGTGAGAAGATAGAAGTCTAGACCACAGAAGGGAGAAGTTGGGTCTAAGGGAGAATTTCCTGAAGGTCAGGGATGGCATCAAGGACGCCTACGAGATGTCTCTCCAGAAGAAACGCCAGAGGGCACAAGCACAGAGGCAGAGGCTGGGGTGACCTCACCATCCTGGCCCCGGATGACGTGGGCAATGGTGATGCCCCCAATCTCTGAGTCACTGAAGCGGAGGAGGAAGGTCCCATCAGGCTCGTTGAGAAGAAGGCTAGTGACATACTGTTTGCTGATGAAGCCGATGATCAGCCTGGCCAGGATGAAGGATAGCATAGGGGTGGGGACACTGCGGGTGGAGAGGGAGCTGGAAGTACAGCTGCCCAGGCCACCTGGGGCAGGGACACACCTGTCTGACCAGTAGCTCCGGAGACAGCGTTTGGTGAGGTCTAGGACACCATCGAACCACTGCCAAAAGGTGAAGCCACGACCCAGCAGGATCTCCTGTGAGGGGAAGGAGGGAGTGTGTGTGTGTGGAGGCGGAGGCAGGGACAGGAGCTGGGCTGTGAGAACACATGCAACAGAGTAACAGGGTTCAGGGACCAAACTGGACCTGACACCCCATTAATGATAATGGCTAACACTCAAACTTATTATGTGCTAGGCACTATTCTAAGCCCTTTCCATATATTAATTGATCTGATCTTTACAAGCCTATGGAGGTAGGTACTAGAATTATCCCATCTCACTAAGGAAGCAGAGAGGTCAGATAACTTGGCCAGGTCGGCACAGCTGGTGAGAAGGAGAGCTGGGATTTGACCCCAGGCGGGCTGGCACCAGAGCCCCCCAGATAGCTGTGCTATCTCCCTAAGGAAGCCTGGCCGAGGAGGAGTCCAGAGGAGAGCACCTTGCAGGCTGTGAGTGTTGTTCTCCTTTTACTAACTCATCTTCCGATCATGTGGCTTTTCTTTCTTCCTTTTTTTTCTAAGAGAGCAGTGCATGCCTGCAGTTTACTCAGCTAACTGCCATCAAGACACTCAGATCTCCATTTTCCCCATTTTTGTAACCCACCCAGTCCTGGGCCACCGTATTTTGGAGGCAGTCAAATACAGTAGTTAAAAGCAAGAGTCAAAAATATGGGGTTCCATCCTAGCCATACCACTCGCCTGCTGTGAACCACGGACCAACT